TTATACTAAAACTAAAGTAGATTAAAATTATAATAATTAAAATTATTTTTTAAATTTATATAACTTCTTAAATATTCTTAAATATTCATCCTAAATATTAACTATTTTATATCAATTTGTAGTTTATATTATAATTTATAACTTTACTTAGAATATTAACTAATAATTATTTGAACTCAAATTGAACTTTTGGTTAGATTCAAGTCAGATTCAAAATTCAAACTGAACTTAAACCAAACTTTTAATTAAATTCAAATTTTTGAACTAAATTTTTTATTAGGTTCAAGTTTGATTCAAGTTTGAACTGAATTAGACTTTTTTTTGGAATTCTAATATTCACTTTAATAATATATTTTTGAGTGTATAAATTTAGTAATATTATATATATAAAAAAATAAAGTTATATATCTAGTTGATAATATATTTTTGGATATATGCTTAGAATATATAAGTTCAATAATATTATATAAGAAAAAATGAAATTATATACTTATCTGATAATATATTTTCAGAATAGCTAACTTTAATAATATTATATAAAAAAAATAAAAAAGTTATTCATTTGATAACATATTTTTGGATATATATTCTGGATATATTTTTAGGATGTATAATTTTAATAATATTATATAATAATTATAGGAGTTATATATACATCTTCTTATATATTTAGTCAAAGTTAATTATTTTTTTACTACTTATTTTTATGATATATTCATGAAACATATTTTTAATATTAACTTGTAACAAAAATTTCAGTAATCAAAATTATTATATTTTAATATAATATATTTTAAACATAAATAAGATTGATTTAATAGTATTTTCCAATAACATTATGAAATATATATTATAATTAGAATGTAACTAGAATGAATTTTCTAGGATTAACTATAAGCAAAGTAAATTGATAATATGACCTAATAATATTTTTTGATAATATAATCTGATAGCATATATATAATAATATTATCGATAGTATTTATATAATATACTTAGTATACATATTTGATAGCATTAACTAATAGTATAAGCAGATAATATATATATAATAAACTAAATAACATATACTTTGATTATTTGTCTTTAGAAATAATGCACAAATTGCAATTGGATCATTAAACTCATGATGAGATCAACTCAATATTTGATCATTTGCACATGATCTAATGACAAAAATCAGTTACAATCACTAAATCAGCATACAAATATTGTTATCAAATTTGAATTTTTGAAGGAATTAGAACTTAATATAAAAGAGATACATATAGAATGTCATAACCTAATTTGAATATTTCTGTTTAATGAAAATTGATCAAAAATATTAAATGAATATATAAATTTTATATAAGTGATTAAAATATTATCATATCAAATTTGATTTTCTAAAGAATATACAAGCTATCTCAAATGACTTGAGTTTTATAATTGATCCATTACTTAAATGACTAGAGTTTTATAATCAACTCATCACTCAAATGACTTGAGTTTTGAGATCTACCCATTACTCAAATGATTTGAGTTTTGTGATCCACATGTTATATCTGAGTGATCATAATCTAAACTAAGTAAAAATAATATAATTATGTTATTTTTACTAAAGTCATTAAATATTTGTATTTTATAAAATGTATAAATATCTTTACTAAGAAGTAAATATAAAATTTAATTCATAAATATGCTCAGAAAAAGTCTATTCTATCATATTCATGGATTAAATTTTGTATTTGCTTCTTAGTAAAGATGTTTATACATTTTGTAAAATATAAATATTTGATGACTTTAGATATTATGCATCATAATGCTATTTATTACCTAATTTTTACTATGGATAGATTGGATCAGCTAATTATCACGTCTTATGTGATTGGCTAGTTGTTACAACTAGTCACAATCACACCATGGATACATGGGTGACCATACTAATTAAAAATAATTACGTGGTAAATGACATGCTCTAACAGTAGAACATGTTTAATTAGTGATCCAAACTAGATTCCATCTTAGAAAAAATACTGGGGTTCATTTTGTTTTGGATTAATATTGACGGAATAAAAATTTTTATAAGTGTTTCATTTCTAGTGTGAGACACTGTTCACAGCAAATACGGTATTCTTAGTTCTTGTCATAAAGCATGTAATAATAGGAAATTTGTACATGTATTCCTTTGAGATACACATGTGTACGGTATAAACAAAACTAAATTGTTCAATGCTTCGACAACTATTCATTCAAATTATGCATATTTATAAAATGTACTTTTCATGTTACTGTAATTTCAGTATTGACTCAAAGAAAATACGTAATTAAACTTTCTATTCTATATAAAACAAGAATTTAATATTGAATAAACTAATAATTGAAATATAAAACATTTAATAAAAATTTAAAAATAAATATATTATAATATATTTTAATTACGACAGTTCGAAAATTCAATAAGGTTTGTATCGAAATGATTGGCTTCTTGGTTCCGCTTCCCATTGAGTGAATGAAGAGATACGAGAATTCATCTCGTTTTTTTGGCTTTCAGCACATTTGTTGCCTATAAAATAAATTGTTTATTATTTGCGATAAATAAATAAACCCAATAGAGAAAATAAGTAAATACTTACATAGTGGTCTTCCAAGTGATCCCTTGAAATAAGTTGCGCCAAGATAACCGCAATTCGCACATTTAATTCTACAATCAATCCTACTTTGATCTTTTGAGATATGAATTTCGCCATCAGGATCGATTTGAAATGGACGATGGCGATTGTGAAGCCTCAAACTAAATAAATTTCATAAAAAATATTTATTAATCCAGTTTAACATGAATTTCCAAGTATTTTGATTACTCACTAAATTCCACAAGCGTTACACAATAAGGCGACGCCTTGTAAATCTCGTCTCCATGCTGGAGTGTCTCGAGTACCGCAATTCGCACAACGAAGTAGTTCACCTTGACGAGTTTTCGGAATTTCAGCATTATTTGGACTTTGAGAATTAACCGATGATGTTGAAGATGATGTAGTTTGTGTAGAAGCTGAGGAAGAGTTATCAGCGAAATATTTGAACTTCCTACGCACTCGTTTTTGTTCAAGTGAATTTTTATTCTTAACCGATGATTTCTCTCGCATCAAGTTATAACCTTTTTTTCCTTCTTTTTGATTGGATTTTTTGATGTTTGACGAGCTCGATTGCAAAGAATCAGAGTAATTCGAAGAACGGTTGGCTGACGTAGTAGAAATAATGCGCATCGAGTTGTAGAGCCCACTATTAATCATCGATAGTGTGTTTTCGCAACATTGCTCACATGTCGGATCTGAACACGGGAATTTCAGTGATTTATTTTCTGATTTGTAGTCATTACTATGATTTTTAGGGCTTGATTCCGAATAATATTGATGATATTCTTCCAACTTGGGTTTGGGAAAAGGCATTTCTGATGATAAAAGTGGTGGTAGTGTGCGATTCATTTGGCTTGAAATTTTTTGTTCGTAGTAATTTTCTGTAGCTGCGGAATTGAGCAAATTCTCAATCTTTGGTGAAATAACAAGATTTGCTGGGTTATCATCAGTTTTGGTATTCATAGGCATTTCGTTTTCAATTCTCATCGAATATTTAGCAGCTTTAACTGGAAAATTGCTATCTAAGATACCAGAAGTTGAAATTGCATTTTCATCGGTATCAATTTCCTCATGAATTTGTTTTATTATTGGAAGAGAAGTATCGTCAGGGGTTCTCTCTTTTGGGAAATATGTCGAAGGAATTAAGATAGGTTTCTTCGACAAAGAAAGAAGCATTTCGCTCGCTTCAAGTGTGTCCAAAGATATTTCGGTTAAATTTTTATGGGGTAACATTTATTAAAAAAAAATAAAGATTATTTTGAGCAAGTAATAATTGTTGTATTTGTAGTTTTATATTCAAAAATCATAGAGTTCTTCTTCTATTTATAATCAAATATTGACGACGAATATTTAAAAGTGATGCATTAAATAATTATTAGCCGAAAGCATCATCACTAAAAGCCTAAATCAACTTTTAATGCAGCAAGTATGATTTATATGAATCAGTGCTTTCAATCTTTTTTATTATTTTTTGAGGCAACTGATTTCTTGATGGTATTTATTTGCTTATCATTTGATTATTTTTTTCTGTATATCAGTTGAGAATACTTAAATATATTGATTGATTTATACTTGCTTCTCTTTTTTTTTGAAAAAAACTCGATAATTATGATTGTGATACATGTGATTGTGCGGGGAATAGAAATTTTGATTGGTAGTATCTGCGTAAGTTATGATAATTTTTTGTTGATATTACGTACTATGATTTCTGTCAACTTAGAATATGACTTAATCGTAAACCATGAAATGATTATGGAATTAAAAGTATTTTAAGAAAATGTTTTCTTATAGGGAATCAAATCTGCAGCCATTAACGTGATCGAGACGAAAGATTGACTACACATTGACTGTCACTTGGTCTTGCGATAATGTGCATTTTCATGCACCAATGCATGTTGCTAAATTTGATCCAAGGTCGATACTCAAAATGAAGTGACTCTGATATTAATTAATTTCGAAGTTACATATATATTTTACACATGCTCGTTTAATCTACGAAATATAATTGTACCCTTAGCCTATTAAAATTTAAAGAATTTATTTTCTTGCATTTTTTGCCAATAAATTAAGATTGAAAGTTCTTAAATTATTTTACAAACTATTGAATTACATTTCAACTGTACTGTTCATAAACAAAATAACATTTCCAATTTATTTTTATCAATGCTCTTTCTTTTTGCACCTGGGTTCAAGCATATTGAGATGTATCCTGAAGTGTCAGAATAGTAAAAATTATATCACTTACACATAGCGGTAGTTCATCAAGTATTAACGTTAATGCACTTCTGGCGATCAACGTTAACGCTAAATTATCAGTCTAAATTATTTTTCGTTTTTATCACTGATTAGTTTTTCTCGCTTGACATTTCGTTTAAATTGAAAATTGCAGGACGCAATTACGTATAATGTATAAATATTCACCTCGTAAATGATAAATTCTTTCACTGAGAAAAATTTTTTCCATTGTTTGTATATTGAGATTCATGAGTATTTATTTCGGACATTTTCCTGAACATTATCGATTCCTTCTGTTCTAATTACGTATGTCTTAGATTCTGATGCGGTATTGTTTGATTTTTAATTTTGTTTTGAGAAAATGTGTTAAAAATAATAGAGTACATTTGATTGGTTTTTATAATCAATTATTAGTGTTAGGTTTAAATAAACTCTTAAATCAAAATGGTTATACATTGACCTACAATAAATTACCGTGCATTATTAGCAAAATTTTCTGATTCAAAAAAGTATCTAGTTTCTTTTTTATTTAAACTAAATTTTACTTAATAATGATATTAATAAATATATGAATACGTAGAAAGAGAAAAAGTTATAGAATAATATTCGTCTAAAAAATAATAATGTGTATGCGCTCCTTTAGCTTTAATATGTTGGTGCAAACCATCAAAAATGTAGATCAGTCCGAAATTTTAAATAACGAACGAGGCAGAAAAATTATTATTATTTAAATAGATGTCTCGCAACCGCCGAACTTGACTGGGCCAAATAATATTTTCTAACAAATTATCATTGGCAGAGCTTTATTTACATAATTAAATTTTATCGGCTAATATACACATGTCTTTAGTCACATATTTTAACTTTATTGGTTAATATAATTCTTAACTTCAAAGAAGTCAAAAGGGAACACATAAACTTGACATTACCAAAATTTTTTGTGCAATTTTAAAAGTTTATTCATGAACAAACCAATTAAATTGTAAACAGAGATTATAATAGGAATCATGTATCGAAAATTCAAAAAAAAGTCTGAAAGAAAAAAATACAAAAGTGCAAGAAATGGATTTCTAAAAAAATGTTAAGTAATGTTCAAGAATTTATCATTATTAGAAAAGCAATCACTTAAAAATTTGATTAATATTAATTGAAAAGTCATTCCAAGAATAATGAGTTTGTCACACTTAAGCTCTGTTTGGATCAAATTGAATCAGGTTTGAGATCAATTTGAACTGATAATTTTTATTTTTACCAAGTTATTTGTATTTTGTGACTAAGTAGAGTTGTTCAGAATATAATTATGTATATATTCACAAATTTTCATTTAATTTCAATTAATATTAAATAAAAAATAATAATTTTTAGACTAATCTAAAATATTTATGATGAGATTTGTTTTAGTATTTTTATAAACTAAACTGACTTTTGTCTAGATTTGAGTTTGGTTTGAAATTTGAATCAAACTTGAACTGAATTTTGGCTTGAGTTCAAGAAGGATTCAAAGTTTGAACAAGACTTAAACTGTATTATTATATAAATTTGAAATTGATTTGAATTTGATTTAAAATTAGTATATACACAGCAAAAGTTGATATAACGAACTTCTTCATTTCTGTCATGCTGTTTGATAAATTGACAAATCTACTATAACAGAAAAATTTATATAATATTATTTATAACTAGTTCTGAAAAATAGTTCAAGAAAAATAGATAAGTATTAATTTGAAAACTTTACATGAGTTAATTTTGAATCTACCTAGATATATAGATAAAGTTATTGAAGTTAATGATAAAAGCATATTATATTAATTGTAAATTTTTAAATTTGAATCAATATAACTATATATTTACTATTTTATTTTTTTTATTTATCATATTGTTATAAATTTGTTTACTAATTGTTAAATTAGCTTACAAACTTGAATCTGGATTGAAAAAGAATAATAAATTGATAAAAATATTAAAAAAAAGAAAGATATCTAAGACCTATATCAATTTTTATAAAAATTATATTTACTTAAAAGAATAATAATATAGAAAAGTTGTGAAAGAGTAAAGATCAAAGAAAAAAAAATATAAAAGAATAATATAATTAGTAATAATAATAACAAAGACTCTTTTACTTTGTTCTTCTCATAAGTAAGAAATATTCATAAATAATCAAAAATTCAAATAACAAAAAGTAAAATACTTATAATTTAATTTTAATAATTCTAATACCTCAATTTGTTCAGTATAATATAATATAAAGCTCAATAATTTAATAATAATAATTTGTTTGACACAATATGATCTAAAGCTATTAGCAATTTGTTAGATACAATATAATATAAGATCACTTATATACAAGATTTGAAATATATAAAGAAAATATAAAAGGTAAAAAGTATTTGAAAAAAGATTTTTGTTAAGAGAGATTTTATTTTAGTTATAATATGAGTTAAAGCTCAAATAGTACTTTTATTTATACAATTTTTGAAAATATAATTTCAAATAATAATAACTATCTAATTAATAATAAAAAGATAAAAAAATAAAAGAAATGACAAATGATAAAATAAATAATAAAAAATAATAAAATAATAGAAGATAATTAAATTAATAAAATTGATAAATAATAATAAAAAATGATAAATTAAAATAAAAAGTAATGAAAAATAATAATAATTAATAATGAAAAATAATAAGAAATAATAAAAAATATGAAAAATAATAAAAATGATGAAAAGTAATGAAAAATAATAATAAAATAAATATTTAATAAATTATTTTTGTTATTTCTTAGAGTTTATTATTTTTAAAGATTTTTAATATTTTTAATTATTTTTAAAATTTAGAATTTTCTTTGAATTTATGAAATTACTATTACTAATATAATAATATATTTAATAAATATGATAATTTTTTATTTAATAATAAAAACTTTAATTTGTTGAATGATCAATATTAAATTTTTGATAATACTATAAGAATATATATAATATTTTTATAAGAATTAAAAGTTTATATAGTGATAACTAAAGTATTTTTATTTTTATATTTATTAAATTTAATTATAAATATTATATACAGTAGCAATCAAAAAGAATGGAATACTAAAACAAATTTATTAATAAAATATAGTAAAAATACGAAAAATGTGAGTTTTTTTTTATATAAAAGTTTTTAATTTTACTAATAAATATTTTTTATTTTTATATTAAAATTTATTTTTATATTAAAATGAAGATA